GTAACCCCCTATCCTGGGAGCGTTGGATGGGGGGATGGTGTAAAGGGAGCTTTATTCTGTATCTAACCCCCTGTCCTGGGAGTGTTGATGGCGGGGGGACAGTGCAGTGGGGGCTTTACTCTGTATCTAACCCCATGCTGTCCCTGTCCTGGGAGTGTTTGATGGGGGGGACAGTATGGTTAAAGCTTTACTCTGTATCAAACTCCCTGTCCTGGGAGTGTTTGGGGGGGGGGGGCAGTGTAGAGGAAGCTTTACTCTGTATCTAAATCTCTGTCCTGGGAGTGTTTGACGGGTTTGACAGTGTAGAGAGCGCTTTACGGTGTATCTAACCCCGTGCTGTTCCCACTTCTATCCTCCCGGTCGCCCTGCAAGTATTTCCCCCTCCCGATGTTTACTCAATTCCCCTCCAGAAAGTTCCTGTCAAATCTGCTTATGCTGCACTATCAGGCGACGCGTTCCAGACTACTGCAACTTGACAACAATTAGGGGCGGCACGGTGGCTCAGTGGTTAGCACTGCTGCCTCACAGCTCATAGGACCCAGGTTCGATCCCACCTTCGGGTGACTGTCACATTCCCCCCCACCCCCACTCCCTGTCTGCGTGGGTTTCCTCCGGGTGCTCCGGTCTCCTCCCACAGTCCAAAGATGTGCAGGCTAGGTGGATTGGCCATGCTGAATTGTCCCATAGTGCCCAGGGATGTGCGGGTTAGGGTGGATTGTCCGTGCTAAATTGTGCCATGGTGCCCAGGGATGTGCAGGTTAGGGTGGATTGTCCGTGCTAAACTGTCCCGTAGTGCCCAGGGATGTGCGGGTTAGGGTGGATTGGCCGTGCTAAACTGTCCCGTAGTGCCCAGGGATGTTTGGGTTAGGGTGGGATTGGCCATGCTAAATTGTCCTGTAGTGCCCAGGGATGTGCGGGTTCGGGTGGGATTGGCCGTGCTAAATTGTCCCGTAGTGCCCAGGGATGTGCGGGTTAGGGCGGATTGGCCGTGCTAAATTGCCCCGTTAGTGCCCAGGGATGTGCAGGTTAGGGTGGATTGGTCATTGGAAATGCAGGGTTACAGGGACAGGGTGGGTCTGGGTGGATTGCTCTGTGGACAGTCCACCCCCACAGGTTTTGAAGCCCCCACCAAACCCCACCGCTGGAGATGAAGCCCTACCCCCGATGGGACTATGTCCTCCCCATCTAAGAATAAACAACCCCCAAATTTGGGATTGAAACCCTCCCCTACAATGGGCAATGAACTACCCTCACTGAAGGTTGAAGACAACCCCCCCGCACCCCTCACCAAATTGGTGACAGAAGCCTCCCACAAGTTGGCAAAAAAGACCCCCTCGACCCTGAAGTGGCCACAGAAACACCCTTCCACTTTATGAGAACGGAAGCTCCACTTCCCCCTCAACTGGGGATAGAGGCGGCACACCCCCAATTGGAGACAGAAACCCCTGTCCCCCAGGTGGAAACAGAAGACCTCCTCCCCCCACCAGAGATGGTAAGCCCCGCTTCACCCAGTTATAGATTGGAACTCCTCGCTCCACCTCACTGGAGATGGTTGCTCCCTCCTCTCCCACTGAGTTATGATCACTGTTGCTACCATTCCCCCCACTGAGTTAGGACCACAATACCAAACACTGCGCCCCTGAGTTATGATCACTATTTCCCCTTCCCCACTGTATAAAGATCACCATTTCACCCCTCCCCAATGAGTTGGGATCACTGTTCCCAACCTCCCACCACTGAGTTAGGACCATTATTTCTCCCCCACTGTGTTATGATCACTTTCTCCTGTCCCCAGATTTATGGTCACTATTCCCTCCCTCTCCACTGATTATGGTCACTATTTCCCCCCTCCCCAATGAGTTAGGATCACTATTTCCCCCCTTGCCCACTGTATTATGATCACTAATTTCCCTCTCTTGCCTACTGTGTTGTCACTATTCCCCCCAGCTTGCCCACTGTGTTATGATCACTATTCCCTCTCTTGCCCACTGTGTTATGATCACTATTCCCTCCCCTGCCCATTGTGTCATTATCACTAATTCCCCCCTGCCCACTGTGTTATGATCACTAATTTCCCCCCCTTGCCCATTGTGTTATGATCACTATCTCCCCCACCTTGCCCACTGT